TGTGGACGATGCCGCCTGAGGACACCCCTCTCCCTATAGAAGTTATGTGCAGAGAGGGAGAGTGGCCTGAGGATGGGCAGAGGTATTTACTTCCAGTAGGATGTGTAATAGGCGGTGACGGCTCGGGGGGAGAGCACGGATCGGATCCTCGTTTGCGCCGTGTTGGTTGGGCCTTCGCCATCTGCCTTGGTGAGTCTGTCCTAGCCTCTTGCCGTGGGAGCACGGCAGGCTGGAGACAGACCGTCCCCCGAGCCGAGCTGCTAGCAGTTGTCAGAGCTCTCCAAGCCACAGCTGGGGATGCCACGTATGTAGTTGACGCAGCATATGTTTTCCAAGGGGCCAAACATGGCCCTGGGTATAAGTACAGAAATAATGCAGATCTTTGGGCTGAATACTGGAAGGCGGTCGCAGACCGCCCTGGCACGTTGTCTCTAGTCAAGGTCAAGAGTCACCTTGAGCGTACGGCCGCGGGCCCTGGTTTCCCTCTGGAGCACTGGTTTGCCAATGACCAGGCCGACAAGTTGGCCGACAAAGCCGCGGAGGAAGCCAAACCCCCCTACAGCTTGGTAGGGAAAGTTCAAGAGGCCGATAAGTTGGCCTGGCGTGTTCAAAAACGTTTGACTTTAGTTGCCCTGGAGGTTGCGAAGAATTCTAGAGATTTGTATGGGACAACTTTGAAAGGTGACATCCATGCTAGAGCTGTAGCCAAGGCAAAGGCCAAGGCTCAACAGACCCCTCAGCTCATGAGGGATTCTTCACATCGTATATTCCAGACCTCCAAGGGCTGGAAATGTGCACGCTGCCTAGTCATTGTGGGGAAGAGATCCCTGGAGGAGCTCTCGACCTCATCGTGCCCTGGGCGGCCGTCTGTGGTCGATGACTCGCACCGGATCGAGAGCTTCCGAGGCCTTTGGTTTTGCCGCTTGTGCGGAGCACAGGGGGCAGAGAAATTCGTCCGACTCGCCAGGAAGTGTGATCGACGCCTTTCGAAGGACGGTCGGGCCACCCTCAAGGCCATTGACCTTGGGAACCTCCCCAAAGGGGTGGAACGATGGCCTGACTCGACGTATCCAGGAGAGATCGCCACCCCGACGTGTCCTAGCACATGACTGACACAGGCGAGGACAAGGCGGGTCTCTCTTTCTTTTCTTTCAGAGGTGCTGAAGTGAACTTCGGTTGCGCCTCAGGCAGTAGCGCAGGAGGAGGAGGAGGAGGAGGAGGAGGAGGAGGAGGAGGAGGGGGAGGAGGGCAAGCTAGGTGCGCTCGCGTCATATCTGACATCCTACCCCTCCCTCCCATCCCTTGCCATGGCGCAGATCCCATCTCTACTCGCTCAGTCGGATGTCGAGCAGGGCAATGATGGGTACGCGATGCATTGTAGAGCACGGCATGGCATGGCGTAGAAGAGCACCGCAAAGCGTAATATCAACCTAGCATTGCAGTGCATGCCGTGACATGGCACGGATAATGACGCCATCGCTGCAGCGGGAGCACGATTCGGAACGAGCGGAAGCACGGGAATGAGGCAAGCGCTGCAGCGGGAGCACGATTCGGAACGAGCGGGGCCCGAAAATGAGGCCGGCGCTTCAGCGAGAGCAGCATTTTGAAAAAAAGGCAAGCGAAAACCCAACTCCGGGGAAACCTGTGTGCAAAAAAGCAGTACGCGGAGGGGGGGTCGGACACTCCCAGGCCGTCATCAGGGGAAGAGGGAGAGTAGTAGGAGGAGCAGGAGGAGGAGGAGGAGGAGGAGGAGGAGGAGGAGGAGGAGGAGGAGGAGGGAGGAGGAGGAGGGGGAGGAGGAGGAGGAGGAGGAGGAGAGAGGAGCGAACGTCACCTGAGGGGCGCGTCCGTCCGAGAGCCACGCTACGGCTCGCCAAGCATCGGGGCGTGGCGGGCGGCGGCAGCGGCTATGTCGATTGCAATGGGGGTGGATGAGAGAATGGGTGGGAAGAGCTGGGCTGAGGGCGACGCGGCACTCATCGTGTCCTGCTTGATGGTCTTGCAGCGCTGCTCCAGCGCGAGGATGGTCGCGTGGCAGTCCTCGTCGTCGGGCAGGGCGCGGAGCAGACCCAGCATGTGGGGCACGATGTAGTCCGTGTCGCGCGTCGGCTGGTTGAGGATGTAGGTGGCGTACTCTATGTCCGAGCTCTGCGGCCAGGCGCACTTGAGGCAGGACGTCTGGTGGGGCACGTCGTTGAGGCAGCGCGGGCATACGAGGTTCTCTTCATCGGATGTCGTTCCGCTTGCGCTCGAGTGCTGGTGGTGTGCGTTGAAGTCGTCGGCCCAGTCCGCGTGAGACCAGCCCGAAGCTGTGGAGTCGCAGTCGGAGTAGCTGTCAACGTAGCCGTGGCACAGGGCGAGAGTGTACATGTCCTCCAGCGACATGTCCTCCAGCGTGTCTTCCAGCGTCAGGTTTTCCCCCAGCGAGCGCGCGATGCGGGACGGGATCAGGGAGGTTGCGACGTGCGTCTGGCGCAGCATGTTCATGGCGTTCTGTACCTTCTTCAACGAAATCTTGGGGAAGCTCTCGTCCGCGTTCAGCTGCTTGTGGACCGTGCGGTAGCCAACGTGACCGTTCTTGCGGAGCAGGGCGCGGATTCTGTTGTGCAGCGTGTCGGAGGAGGCGGGCGCGCAGAGCTGCGCGGCATCGGCGTCCAGCGGCACGATGGGAACAGACATCGCGGGCGCGTCGGGATTCACGTCGCGGACGTGGGTGGCGTACAGGGCGTTCAGCGGTTCGAGCGCGTCGGAGTCCACGTAGATGGCGGGAGGGTCGTTGGGCGGTTTGCACAGCTCGTTCCGCACGGGGAGGGGAGAACATGAAAGCGCGAGCAGCGGACGCTCCGAACAGCAGGGCTGTAGAGAGCTACCGCGGCCCGGAAGGGAGGCCTCGATGGTCACGGCCACGGCGGTCGGCAGGTCGATGGTCGGCGGGACGTTCGGCAACTTGGACGGCGTCGGCAGGCTGGGGACGGCGTACGGCTCGGTGGAGTCGGTCGTGGGCGTCTGCTCTGCCAGCACCAGGTCCGAGAGCTCGTGGTTGTGGGCCGTCGGCATGTTCGGCTGCAGCTGGTTCGCGAGGCAGGTGAACTGGCTCGTGGACGCGACCTGCAGCTTGTTCTTGCGCGGCGTCGGCAGGCCGAGGACGGCGTGCGGCTCGTCGGAGTCGGTCGTGGGCGCCTTCTTTGCAAGCACCTGCAGCTGGTTCGCGAGGCTGGTGAACTGGGTCGTGGTCGCGTCCTGCAGCTGGTTCGCGAGGAGGTTGAACTGGCTCGCGGACGCGTCGATGATCGTGGCTAGGTGCTTCTGCTGGGTGATCTTCTGCTCAGCGCATTGCTCATGGAGGTCAGCGAGCTCCCGTCGGGCTTCGAGTGCCTGCTGTTCGCTGGCTGCGAGCGCGGCGTGCATCTCCGTCAGCGCGGACTTGACGGCATCCATGTCACTTGGCGGCATGGGACCAGCAGCAGCGACAGGAGGAATAGCGATGGCGCGCTCCAGGGCGAGCTTCCCGACCTCGTGCTTCGCGCGGTTGGCCTTCTTGTGGATGAGCGTCGCGGCGTTGCGCTCCTTCGGGTCGGAGTGCGACATCGCGGCGAGCGTCGCCAGCCTCGCCGAGTGGTGGGGCATCCCCGTGTCGACGTCGTGCTGGGCGTGCACTTCCAAGGACTTGACGATGGTCTTGGCGCCAGCGACGAGCCAGAGCGGCACCGATACCCAGCGGCGAGTCGGTTCCGGCCATGGGATCAGGAAGCCGCGCTCGATCGCGCGGGACCGCCGGGTGGCACGGGCTATAGCGGAATGCCGGTGGGGCATGGGTATGAAGGGGGGAGGGGGGCGCTACTCGGGGCGGCGCTCGCAGCACATTCACCAAAGCATCGGTGGACTTGAGCCAAAATGGCTACGGAGGAGGAGGAGAGAGGAGGAGGAGGAGGAGGAGGAGGAGGAGGAGGAGGAGGAGGAGGAGGAGGAGGAGGAGGAGGAGGAGGAGGATAAGGAGGAGGAGGAGGAGGGGGAGCGCACCTGGCGGCAGAGCAGCAGAGGCCCCCCTCGCCTCCGCCCCTGGCCCTCGGGCCACTCAGCTCGGCTCTCGGGCGGCCGTGCGGGGCGCTCTCGGCACCCCCGGGAGCGCCCTCGGCGAGGCGCAGCCGCTGGAGCGCATCCCGAAGCGGGAGCACCGCCTAGAGACCAACGGTCGGGCCGGGCGAAAGGGGGGGATAGCAAAGGGGGGGTTTGAGAATCAGCTCACGTAGCTGATCTTCCCGGCGCCTCCCGGCGCCGGATGGAGCTATGTATCGAGGAATGGGCCCCTCGGTGAGGCCGAAACCAGCTGCACGCAGCAAATTTCGTAACCCCCCCTTTCCCAATCCCCCCCTTTCGCCCGATCCGAAACGGGCATCAGTAGGGGGGAAACAAACCTACCCTCGCTTTTGACCACCCTCGCTTCCAAGAGATACCAAGCGACGCCAAACTGCGGCCTGTGCTGGTCAGGTCGCTTGACGAGGAGGCGCGTGGTATGACCTGGTTTGTCCTGGAAGCGAAAGCGGGGTAGGTAATTCACGCTCTGAATTAGGTCGGGCATGCCTTCCTGCAGGCGGATTTGGGACGAAAGATAAAAAACAATAGGCCGAACATCTCCAAACACATAGATAAGAAGAACATCGAAAACTCGCCCCCCATACTATTTCTCGACTATTCTTGACTGTTCCTCCAGTCGAGGGACAGGCCCGACTCAAAACGAGCACGCGCGAACACATCGACCTCTCTCCTCCCCTCCCCTTGCCCCCCGTTTCGTCCGACCCCAGTGGTGGTGCCCCCACAAGCGTGATGCGACGGACCGCCGGGTGACCCCGCGCGGACCGTCTCCATGCGGTTCGGGACCCTGGAGGCCCCCGCCGCCCGAGACGTCGTCGGAAAACGACCCGAATCCCCACCGTCTCACCACGCGCTGTGGGCACCACGCAATCTGGGGTCCCCGACGGTTGGTGCCCCCCCCGCGAGGCCCCAAGTGTCCACCGCGGTGCCCAGCGGCTGCCCGCCCTGGCACATCTCTGGCGGGAAATACGTCTTGGACGCGTAGACCCACCGCGTCTCCTCCCGGCGGCGCCCACCCATACAGTCGGGGCTGATTGGAGAGGGCACGCGAGAGGGCACAAGACCCTTCCGAGGACACAAGACCCTTCCAAGGATTGCGAAGCACAGGACACCAAGGCACACTTGATTTGGCATGGTCGACCTACTAATCAGCCTCGACTGTATCAATCAGCCTCGACTGTATCAATCAGCCTCGACTGTATCATCCGCGACCAAGAACTTGCTGTAACGGATTTCGGCCGCATTCAGTTTTGTTCGCGACTGGAGGGGGTCGAATTTTGGTAGCGAAAAAACGGGGCGTCGGGGTCCAAGCGAGAGTTTCGAAGACGTCGGCGGCTCGCTCGTTACCAGAATTCGCTACCTGAGGCCAGATTTCATTCGCGACTAGTTCGAGCAGGGCGTTACTGGATATTTCTTGAACGGATGATCAGGGCAACGTGGGGGGCAAGAAACCCAGATCCCCTAGCGCCGTGAAGAACTTGCGACGGGTGTGTTTTTATGTTCGTTTTCTTTTTGTTTTTGTAATTTTCACCCCTTCTGGGCCCTTTCCGGGTCCCAAACACAACCCAAAACGACTCGGGATAAAAAGCCAGCTCCGAGAAGGGATCCAGACTGGGTGGCCGCGCTGCGAGAAAAACGCGAATTCGGATGTCCGGTGATAGCGAGACTGCATCAAGGTGGTCCTGAAGGGGCCCGAAGCGGCCCCTACACTGCAGCCGCGGCCCCGACAAGGTGCTGGCGTCTGCGCATACGGTAACTTCAGCCCTTTGGCCGAAGTCCCTCTTGATGATTCTGGCCCTGGGTCGCCTATGATGGCGGCCAGGTTCCAGTCTCAGCGATTCGAGCTTTAGCCCAGCCCAGTCGACGAGAATCAAGCCAGGGCCGACATTCCGCGTGCAATGGGCGACTCGACGACGACGCGAACTCGGCGGGGCCGAGCGCGCGCATTTACTCGCACTGCCTCGTGAGCCACAAATGCTCCGAGCGGAGGTCATCGTTCCTGAATCCTCGGGGTGAAGGGAAGGAACGAGTGGAGCGCAAGAGGGCCGAGACGGACCACAAGACCACCCCAAGACCCAACGGGGTCACCTCTCCGATCCCGGGCCAAGATCGGCATGGCCAGGACCGGTGCAAATGTACAAATCGGTGCTGTCCGGCCTACGTCCAGGTCGGGGGCTCGGGAACGCGCGCGCTCGTCTTCGAGGTCCGCACGCCCGTCTCCTCCTCCTCCTCCTCCTCCTCCTCCTTCTCTTCCCCCTCCTCCTCCTCCTCCTCCTCCTCCTCCTCCTCCTCCTCTTCCTCCTCCTCCTCCTCCTCCCCCTCCTCCTCCTCCTCGGAGCGGCGGAGGCCGCAGCGCAATCGACTGGTCCCCGGCGGTGCCTCCTCCCCCCTATCCTGGAACCCGGTCTTGCAGGCGATGCCCATGTCGATCAGCTTCGCGTCGTAGTTCTTCGTGACTAGCACGTTCTCCGACTTCAGGTCCCGGTGCAGGATCTTGCGCTCGTGCATGTGTGTCTCGCAGGGGGGATTAGGTTCGAGGAGGGCAAGAGAAGGGGATCAGGAGTAGGGGGGTAGGAACAAGGAGGAGGAATGAGAAAGGAGGAGGCGGAGGAGGAGAAGGATAAGGAGGAGGAGGAGGCGGAGGAGGAGGAGGAGGAGTTTCTTGTCGTCGTGGTGCTCGTAATCTGTGTCGGGGTGGTCGCCGTGCTCATGGCCGTCGACAGCTCCTGCTAGCGCAATCTCTCCTCGTAGACTTTCTCCTCGCTCTGGGCGGCACGCTCCAGCCGAAACGCGGCCCAACCAACGCTACGATGGTGCAACTGTCCATGCCATTTTGGATGGTCGCCCTGGCAGGAACGACATAGCGATGGAAAATGCGTCCTTGAGGAGATGCTGCCGTCTGCCGTCCGTGCCCGGTTGTGTGCCCCACCCACCCGCAAACTGCATGTACACTCGAAGTCGGTATCGGCACAATTGCCGGCATGATTATCGTGCAAGTGACCCGACGGAACTCGCAGCATGTTTGACAAGTGTTGATATTGCGCGCCAGTCGCGGTCCAAGTCTCGTGGGTTGTGGATGCTAGGCGCTAGGCCGTAACTCGTAGGTCTACCACGCTGTCCGCGGGGCATTTCGCAGAGATCGCGAAGTACACCACGTTGACCGTGAGTATTTCGCGAAGGCTGCGAGGCGTATCACGGTGAAAACCAAATATTGCGCGCAGATCCTGGGGTACATCCTTCGTGGCGCCCGTGCTGCCCCGGGATCGGGCCAGAGCTTGGACAGCGGGGCGGGGAAGGGGTAGCGCCTCGGCAGGCGTGGAGCCAGAATGGCCCTGCGCCTGCAACTCCTCGTCCGCCTCGTCCTCCCCCCCCTCCCGCATGCTGCAGGCCTCGGAGCGAGGCCACCGAAGTGGCCGCTGACGCTTGGAGTGGGCCGCCAACTCGCACAACGACTCTGGGGATCGCCGCCGCGGTTGCGGCGGCCATGACCGCTGCCTGTTCGAGCCAGGGAGGCGATACCCTTGGGCCAAGGTTGCAAGCAGAGGAAGAGGAATACGAGGAAAGAGTAGGCGGATGGATGTGGATGGTGAAGAATGGGAAGAGGAGCGGGGAGAACGACGAAGAGAGGGAGGAAAAGCATGTCCAGAGCGCCGCAGAGCTGCTTGATCAGGGTCCTGATGCCATGGTCGGCTGCAACCCCAAGTGTGGGGGGGGGGCGGCCCTGAACAACCAGAGATGCCCTCCCCCCGACCTCCTCCTCCTCCTCCTCCTCCTCCTCCTCCTCCTGCTCCTCCTCCTCCTCCTCCTGCTCCTCCTCCTCCTCCTCCTCCTCCTCCTCCTCCTCCTCCTCCTCCTCCTCCTCCTCCTCCTGCTCCAGCTCGACTCCTCCTCCTCCTCCTCCTCCTCCTCCTTCCTCTCCTCCCCTCCTCCTCCCCTCCTCCTCCTCCTCCTCCTCCTCTTCTCCCACCCCTCTTCTACATTTGAGCAAAGTGAGGATCACTCCCCCCTTTTTCCCGCTCTTTCTTTCTTTCTTTCTCTCTCTCTCTCTCTCTCTTTTTTTTCTCTCTCTCTCTCTCTCTTGTTCTCTCTCTCTCTCTCTATGTGTTCTCTCTCTCTCTCTGTCTCTCTCGCCCCTGGTACTGCCCAGTGCTGCGACCGCGTCTCCCGCGTAGCGTTTTATTCACGGCGTTTCAATGTATCCGATTGCTTGTTTCGATCGGAACGCTCTCGGTCATTCAGAGTCTTCTTGCTGCAGTGTTGGAAACATTTCAGGATCGGAGTTTGGCCCCCGTCATTGAAAACTGCGTTATTGCCCCAGCTCGCCCACTCGTTCTCTTTCTCCTCCTCCTCCTCCTCCTCCTCCTCCTCCTCTTCCTCCTCCTCCTCCTCCTCCTCCTCGCTCTCATGCTCCTCCTCCTCCGTTTCCCCTTCTCTCCCGATTCTCCCCTCCTCCTCTCCTCTCCTCCTCCCTCCTCCTCCTCCTCCTCCTCCTCCTCCTCCTCCTCCCCGACCCCCTCCTCGTTCTTCTCCTCCCCGTCTTCCTCTTCCCATTCTCCTGCTGCTGCTTGCTGCTTCTGCTCCCCGTCCTCCTCAAGTGCAGCCAGTAATACAAACTCACAAGCATCAGCTGATTTCCGCTGCCTTCTGGACTGGGGATCGCCCAGTCGTTTGCTCCTGGCCCCCCGGCCTTACTTGGGGTGTCAGCTCAAACCTCCGACGCCGTTTTTATGACCCCATCCCCACGAGTTTGTTCGGCGGCCGCAGGCCCTCTTTGCTGTTCCCTCGGGGCCCGCACGGCGTTCCACGGAAGGCGACTTTGAAAACTACACGCGCCGCATTGGCTGCATTGTGCGCTTCGCTGGCGCTGGAGGTCTGGGACGCGACCACTGTCCTGATCAGCTGGGACGGGACGCTCTGCTTCGCGAACAGATACTGCTTTATGAGGCGGTCGAGGTCGAACCCGACGGGCTGCACGGCCTCGAGGGCGAGGTAGCAGCCGCCTGCGTCGTGTCCGTCTCGTCATCCCGAATCCCCCCATTCCCTCCCATGCCCTGCCGCCTCTCCCCCTCCTCCCCCCGCTCCCTCGCACCCCTCCCCTTGTCATTCCTCCCCCTCCCTCCGCCGTCTCGTACCCTTCCCCTTCCAGCCCTATGTTGCTTACCAAGGCCAGGCGCGGCTACGTCGGTCGTATCGTTCGCGGTATGTTCCCAGAGTGCTGGTGCTGAGCTCGGTCTTGTCGGCGTGTGGGGGGGTCTGTCTGGTCCCGTCGACGGGACGTCGTTCCTTCCCCGTCGGGCGGGAGAGAGCACTCTCCCGTCGTCGGGGGGAGGAACCCAGGGATTCAGGGGAATCGACCCGCGTCGTATCACGTGAATGAGAAGCCCCTTCCCTTTGTCCCTTCCCCGGCGGGGGCGGAGAGGAAGGGTCACATTCGCATCGCCTCTGGGGGTCATCCTCTCCCACGCTGGTCCTCCTCCTGTCCTCCTCTGATCCTCCTGCCCAGGCGGGGCGGGAGTCCCAGGGGAGGAGGGGGGGGGAAGACAGATACGCATCCGTCCCTGGGGGTCCTCCTCCCCCTCCCCTGCCCTGCCCCACGCTGGTCCTCCTCTGGTCCTCCTCCCGGGGGGGGGGTCCCTCCTCCCCGGGGGGGGGGGGTCCTCCTCCTCCTCCTCCTCCTCCTCCTCCTCCTCCTCCTCCTCCTCCACTCCTTCTCCTTATAGATAACTCCTCCCTGTCGCACCCCGAGGCAAGTTTAGGGCGGGCAGGGCGTTTCGCCTGAGACGCCCCCACCATTTATGACTCTGAAAAGTGACAACAGCTTCACAGATGGAGGGCGGGTGGTTTTCAAACTGTGACTCTCGCCTTAGTGCCGCGCACATTGTTCTTTAACATTTGAAAGAGTTTCACGGATTGAGGACGGGTGGTTTTCAACATGTGGCTCTCGGCTTAGCGCCGCGCACATTCGCTTTAAACAAGTGCAAAGAGTTTCACGGATTGAGGGCGGGTGTTTTTCAAAATGTGGCTCTCGGTCTAGGGCCGCGCACATTCGCTGTTTAAAGAATTGCAGAGAGTTTCGCGGATGGAGGGCGGGTCGTTTTTTTTAAATGTGGCTCTCGCCTTCGCGCCGCGCACATTCGTTTAAACAAATTGCAAGAGTTTCAAGGATTGAGGGCGGGTCGTTTTCAAAATGTTGTTTTCGCCTTCGCGCCGCATTATGTGGGCGCAACAATTATGTTGATCCGCTGTGTTGAAGTCCCAACAATGGCGTTATGGAGCGATTCTGGATCGGCAAAATGCAGCAGTCTGGTTGGTACGTGGCGTTGAAATCCGGAGAACAAGGTTTTGCACGCTTCAAGATCTTCAAACAGTTGTCTTCCAACGAGGCAGTTCCGTCAATGGAAAGGAACCGCTGTAGGGGCCTATAAAGAGGGAGCTTGGAGGGAGGGTTAATTCCAACATCGTTGATGACTCTTGGGTTTCCACTGGTCCTCCTCCTCCTCCTCCTCTTCCCCCTCCTCCTACTCCTCCTCCTCCTTACCACTGCCTCCTCCTCCTCCTCCTCCTCCTCCTCCTCTTCCTCCCCCTCCTGGTCGTCGTCGATGTCTTTCAGGGTCGGCGGCACTGGCCGTCAGGTCTTCACAATCCTGGACTCCTCCCCTTCCACCCTCCTTCCAGGGTCCCCCTCCTCATCGCCCGCCTCCCCTGTGTCTGCTCCCCTTCCCCTTCTCTGCCTTCCCCTTAGCCCGCCCGCGCCCTCCCTCCCTCCTCCCCTCGCCTTTCTCCTCCCCCTCCACCCCATCCCTGCCAGCGCTCCCGATCCGACCCGTGCCTATCCCGTGCCTATCCCGAATGGTAAGAGGTGGATGGATGATCGACATCACCTTGCTTGACACGTTTTTGGCTTGCGAGTCCCTGGAGTCCTCCAGGGGCCTCTGGGGACGGGACCTCCAGGGACCCCCAGGGAACTCCAGAAATCTCCTCCTGCTCCTCCTCCTTCTCCCTTGTGATTCAGTGGGTCTTTCCTCCGAAATGCTGGACGCCACAAACATCGCAGCGGACGTTTGCGGCGTTCGCTCGGCCAGTGTGTGTGCGTAAGTGTGAGTGTGTGTAGGTGTATGTGTATGTGTGTGTGTGTGCGCGTGTGCGCTTGTATGACATCTCACGCTGGGGCCGCTGTTCTAGTGCCGCCTGTCGACGAGTTGGAGCTCGAGTATAGCATGGTCACGATGTTGGGGTGGGACCCGATCTGCTGCAGGACGCTGATCTCAATGCGCAATCGGGCCTCCCCCTGCTTCTTGGCAACGCACACAGCGACGGGCTTCTGTTTGAAGGTCCCGATGAACACGTCTTTGTCGCTGCCGGATGCGAGGGGGCACCGATGGTCCCAAACGGGTTTCGCGCCCGCTGTGTTTGACGAGCAGGTGTCGCCCATGACCCCCCCAGCGCGCTAAACGTGGCAAGGGCGGCTAGAACAGAAACCTCTCGCAACACGATCCGTGCACCAGCGTGCCTTGAGCCAACAGAATTGCCGAGCGCAGTGCACACGCCTTGCTTGACATTCTTGGTGCAGGCCCTGCCAGATGTCGGAGGCAACCGGGGGGGCAGCCAAGGAGCCAATGGAACACAAACAGATAATGCAATGCATGGCCACACGCTGCAACCCAATAGGATGGAAACAATACAGGAAGACCTTTCACACTTGCAAACCGGGATCTAGCAAGACACAGCACGCTATACCCTTGGCGGCAAACTCTGAACAACGTGTCATACAGTCGGGGCGTTGACCTAAGGAACCCTAAATAAGGAACGAGGCCCCTTTTTTCCATGAATTAGATTCTGATTTCCGATCAAAAACATAAGGAAAACCTGAGGCGAGCTGTGAAACACTTAAGGAACACGGAGCCCCTCCCCAACGAAAAGGGTTCCTTCTTCAGGGCCCCGACTGTAACACTCGCGAGATCACTACATAACTGTATGAACATTACGGCCCTAACGCTTCATGAGACTGAATCTCCTCTGTGAGCCGGACCGGCAACATCTGGCCGGGCCATTCCCAGTGTGCTTTCACATGTTGTGCCAAAACAAATCGCTCCCAACGTCTCTTTGATGGAGCCCGTGTCCATCCAACCCTCGCATGATTAAAGAACGATCTGCCCTGGGCCCTTTCCAGTCTGAAACATACAGCGCGATGGCGTGCTTGATCTACGTTGAGAATCCGCTTTCAACATGCGGGCCACAAGCTCCCACCCCGCGCAGGCAAGTCACGATCATGGAACAAGCAATTATTTCTCTAAGCATGGTCGAATTGAACTCTTCAATCAAATCTGACAAACCACTGGCTCTCCATACGAAATCTGTCATAATGTGCCCGCGCGCACTTCATTATCGTCCTCATCGCAACCATCGTTATCGCAATCGTCGTTATCATCGTCGTCACCATCACCATCACCATCGTCTTCATCATGGTGACTGTCAACGCCATCGCCATCATCTTCATCGCACACCACAGGTCAAGGAGGGTATTTTTTAATCGCGCCACAACGATCATATGGCATGTTTGTCAAAGAGCCGCGCCACATCCTTATCATGGGTTTTGACTGTAGTAGGTCAAACTCTGGTCCTCCTCCTCCGCCACCTCCACGGACGGCGCGGCACCGTCCTGATGTCTGTCAGCGCCCTCGCCAGCGCGATCCTCAGCTTCTCCTCCCCCTGCACGCTGCAGACAGAATTCAAGTTGCGGGCCAACAAGAAAGGGTCCTGAAAAGCAGAGGGGGAGGGGGGGGTACGGAACGCATGAGCTTCCTGACGAAAATTGAGAGGCCTTCTGAGGATATGGGAAGGAGGATGGGGAAGGGGGGAAGGGGGATACAAAGGGGAAGGGAGAGGAGGGCAGAAGGAGGGGATGAGAGATGAAGAATGGGGGATGGGGGAATCTGGAAGAGAGAGGAGGGGGCAATCAGTGAGTAACGAATGGGGGCGGGTTGGAAAGAGGAAGGCGAGGAAGGCAACTATGAGGAGTAAGGAGGGAGACGGATGCAGGAGTGCGCAGGATAAGTACAGAGGAGAAGGAGAATGAGGAGGGGTGGGGAGGGCAGACACCCGACGTCGTGAGTCATGTGGTATGGAGGTCTGAGGTATGGAGGGCTGTCAGGCCGATGCGTGACACGAGTAGTGCACGATACGGAAGCGCAAAACACGATCCGTTCAACAAATCACCTCCCGCCCTGGGGGGGGAGGGGGGGCGCAATCCGGCGACCCAAGACACATGGCACGATGACACGAAAAAACGCGGACTCGCGCGGGCATCCCGGCGCGCCGACGCCCGCGCGCGTGCCGCGCGCCAGGAGCCGCCCGCGCCGCGCTGGCCCAAACCCCTGTGGGGGGGCTTTTTTTTACAACCGCTGGCGACAGCTGTGCTGGCACGCTGGGGACCGAGCGCGGCACAGCACGGCACGCTCTAGCCATCGCTCGGACGTCCATTCCCTGTGTTTTTTTCGGTTTCGTGCGTTGTTTTTTCGCCAAATGATCAGGGATGCTCATCGATGGTCCTCGTCGGAGGAAAAGTGCACACGTCCGAGCGATGCCAATCGCTGGCGGCAGCCCCCCCCCCTCCCCGGACAGAGTGCAAACCCTTGGCTGGGGGCCTCTTTGCAGACGCGGGCGGCAACCCTTTCTTGGCATGCTGGGGACCGAGCACGGCATCGGCTGTTGCGACAAGTGCACCTGGCCCATGGTGCCACCAGCTTTCCGCTCCATCTCGGAGCCCCCTGGGGCCCCCTGGGCCTCGTGAGGTCTCTGGAGGCCGCCTGGGCCACCCCGAGACTCCTGGGGGTACCTTGGGCCAGGGGCACTTCCGGCGACATCCGACGGCACAACACGGCTCTCTGGCGGCAAGCTGGTGGCACGGCACGCCACGGCCCAGCACGGCATGCAGGCGCACGGCGCGCGGCCGGCAACTTCTTGCGTCCTACAGGCCAAGGGGCGGCACGGCACACAGGCGCGGCACGTTACGGCATGCGGGCGGCACTTTTTTTCTTCTCGCACAGCGGCTTCGAATTCGGAGCACCGCGCACGACACGGCACAGACGCGGGATTTCTTCTCCTCCGGAAGACCAGGCACGGCACGGCACGCGGGCGGCAAGTTTCTTTGCTTTCCGCAAACCACGCACAGTGCGGGCAGTCATCCTTCGCCTGCTGAAGATTGAAAGCGGCATCGCTCGCGCTGTTCCGCATGCTGGACGCCAGTCGCGGCACGGCGCGCGGGCGACAACCTCTTCCCGCTGTGAAAGCCAGGCACGGCATGGCGTGCGGGCGGCACCTTTTTCGCCCTTGTAGCACCAGGAAGACTACGGGCACGGCACGCCTGCGGCAGCTTCTTCTACCAGGGCGTATGTCGACACCTATCCCAGACATCGTGGGGTTTTCGGATGAAGCAGAATTTTGAGCCCCAGCCCTGGGATATACGATCGGGGGGCGTTCATCCTCGATAGTGGTTCGTCCGAATAGCCCCCTTGGGGTGCATCCCAAGGTTTCCCTCTTTTTCTGAGCGGCCAGACTTTTCCGGCGAAGCTCGGGGATTGGGGAAGAAAAATCACCTGCGATCTTCCCGCGCCGAAGGCCCCCAACTGCGCAGCACGGCGCGGCACGCGGGCGACATCTTGCCCGCACCACCGTGGACACGGCACACGGAACACGGCACGGCACGCGAGCGGCAGCCCGAACGCCACCCACGGCATGGCACAGCACGCCGCGGCGCGCGGGTTCCCCCCAAAACCCTCGGGCCTGCGGGGCCGCCAGGCTCCGAGCCCCCCCCCTCGACTGGGACCTTGCGAACAGGGTGGCCTCGAGGGCGTTGGAGTTGGAGATGGCAGATCTGGGAGATGTTGGCCAGACCCAGTGTAACTAGGGGAACGAAAACTGACATAAACATAAAAACTCGGAGGTCCGCGCGGATTTCTCGGATCGGCGCTGGACCCCCCTCCCTGGCGCGCGGAGCGCGCCAGGGGCGGCGCCGGAGGCGCCGCCAGGGGGCCCCAGCGCCGATCCGAGAAATCCGCGCGGACCTCCGAGTTTTTATGTTTGTGTCACTTTTTGTTCCCCTCGAGATGTTGGCCAGACCCAGTGTAACCTCGACTCTCTGTGCCGGGCTTGGGCCGGCACTGCTGGGGGAGAACTGGAAGGCGCGCTTCGAGTTGCGCTGTCTCACCGCGGCAGTCGTGGCGAGCGGGTGCAGCTTCAGTGGGTGAGGGTGCTGCGCCGACGGGCTGCGCCAGCGCTTCGCTTATGCTTACCTGCTTCTCGGGCACCGTCAGGTGACTGCCCTGGTCCTCCGCGGAGCTGATTTATGCACACCTGCTCCAGGGCCAACGTCTGGTCACTGCCCTGGCCCCCCACGCAGCTGACCACCCCGAGGCGATATGAGGGACTGCCGCTGCGCTCCGCGATGAAGGCCCGGCTCAGAGGAAGCCCGTCGAGGTCTCCAGCACTTCTCGGCTGGCGTCTCAACTCAGATGGCCGAGCAGCAGGTGCCGCCCGTGGCCGGCCTGCAGCTGCACGCCCTCGGGCCTCGGGCCGAATGCCCGCGGGGGGCGAACGCGGCCGCGGGCGAAACGAACCACGGGCGCCGCCCCCCGGGCAAGGGCCCCTCGCTCCCGCCCGCCGCTAGGCGCGGCGAGGAACGGCGTCGGCCTGAGGAAAGCACAGGCAGAGCAGCTCTGCCCGCGGCCGCCACCTCTCGCAGGAGGAGGAGGAGGAGGAAGAGGAGGAGGAGGAGGCGGAGGAGGAGGCGGAGGAGGCGGAGGAGGCGGAGGAGGCGGAGGAGGCGGAGGAGGAGGCGGAGGAGGCGGAGGAGGCGGAGGAGGCGGAGGAGGCGGAGGAGGCGGATGAGGAGGAGGCGGAGGAGGAGGAGCAGGCGGAGGAGGAGCAGACCTCAGGTAGGCTCAGCGTTTGGTCTGGCGGGGCCCCCTCTCCCCTCCTCCACTTCCGGCGCGTCGTTCGTGTCATCCCGCGGGATCAGGTCGCGGTTGGAAGGCGGGGCCCGAGCGCGCCCTTGGCGCGGTGACGCCGGCCCACGCCGAGGCCGAGAAGAGCGCGACAGCAGAGGATCGCAAACGGTGGATTTCCTGGCCTCGGACAAGTCTCGAGCCTGGAGCTCGGCGCGCCCATGGGGTCGTCTGGGGGGCCCCTGGCTTGGCTCCTTCCTCCGCCCTCTGTGCTAAGAGGGGGGGCCGTTTCTGACCCCGGGTCTCTTCTCGCATCCGAGTTGGCTAAGGTTGCCCAGTTCTGGCGCGCGGAGGACCGTCGTGGTCCATCGCCGCCAGGGGGTGCCAAGTTTGAACCGCTGCTGCCGCCGCTCCCCGAGCTCGAGCCAGACCAGCTGCGGAGAATCGTTTCCCAAGCGCGCGTCGTCATCGGTCGACGGTTTCCACGTGAGCCACGCTCAGCATCGGGCTCTTCGCTGCCGCATCTCGCCTCTGGGCTGGGGCGCGGAGGGACTTCGCCACGCAGTGGGGGGCTGCCAACCGCCGGGAGCTGCCTGTCGACGCTGGGGCCCTGTTCTTCCAGCGCGGGCACGGTGAGGCGTCAACTGGCCATCGCTCGGACGTCCATTCCCTGTTTGTTTGGTTTCGCGCGTTTTTTTTTGCCCCGGTGGAAAAATGCACACGTCCGAGCGATGCCGAGGTCAAGGCTCGTGGAAGGTCAGAGGCCGCGGGGCCCAGTCTGTGCTCCATCCCCGTGCTCTGGGACTCGCCAGAAGCTCTGCGGGCTGGTGGACTCGGGCCGCCTCTCCCCCCAGCGGCGGCCGCAGGCAGGGGTCCCCCCATGGCGGGTGGCTCGAGCGTGGGGCGCTGCGTCCCGATCTGCTCGCTGCATGGCCATGCGCGGCGGGGCTGCGGGGCCGAAGTTCAGACAAAAACACCAAAGAAACTACCCAGAACAAGCTGGGTCTGCTCGTCGGGGTTTCTGTGTTCGACTGTTTTGTAGTCTGTGCTTTGTTCTGTTCTGTTCTGGTTGTGGTATGTGTGTGCTGTTCCTGTTTTTTGTCTGGTTGTCCTGTCGTGGCGTGGCATTGTGGCTGGATGCGGCTCCGCCACCACGCAGATTGGAATATTCTCCGTCGCGGCCTCCGACGGGCTCAGGCTGCCAAAGATCGGCCTCGCTCCGTCCTGATATCTACGCTTATACCCTCTCTTGCAGTGGCACCGCGAACGCGGTCGCCAGTGACCTTCTCGAAGCCTCCTTCACCATTCGGGGGACTATCGAGAGCGACCTCCGCTGCGCCCACGGGGGCGGTGGTGGCCGTAGACCCATCCGCGGCCGAGGCCGTGCGCGCTGGGCTGGGCGCGCGCGGGGGCGGCCCGCGCGAGCCGGCAGTCAACTTGGGCATTGGCGACGCTGCTGGCAGAGCCTGTCGAGTAGTCGGGCGGGGAGGGGGCGGACTGTTTCTTCGGGCGGCGCGCCCAGGTGGGAAGGGAGAGGGGGGCAGACCTTCTGAGAAGGTGGTGCGGCTTCCCAGGAGCACCCCGGCCTTCTGGGGAGCCTTCCTTGAAGGGGCCCTGGGACACAAATAAATACACACAAATAACAGGATTGCACATATTTTCCCATATTTTCTGGGTGTCTGTCTTCCCCCTCACTTGCCATATTTTCGTATATTTTCTTGGGGGTCGACGATTAATCGAGTCTGTGTGTTTCTTTCCCTCCTGATTCCTCAGGGGCGATGTCGAGGGGGGTATTAAGCCGAGGGGGGGACGCGTCGATCCACAACCGGGGCCGGAAGAGGAGGAGGGGGAGGGCCAGCGCCTGCGCGACGCGGAGGCGGAGGGACGGAGGACGAGGAGGGGGACGAGGAGGAGGGCGAGGAGGAGGAGGAGGAGGAGGAGGAGG